CAAGAAGGGGCTGGAAAGAAGTATTCCAAGTCATGAAATCCAAAGACCTACATCCAAGATTGCTCTATCCAGCAAAGCTTTCATTTAGAATGGAAGGACAGATAAAGTGCTTCTCAGATAAGATCAAATTCAAGGAGCTCATCATCACCAAGCCCTTATTATATGAAATGTTAAAGGGACTCATCTAAGAAAAAGAAGATAAAAAAGAGGAACAGTGAAAGGACAGCAAACTCACAGTTATTAAGAACCACACCTAAAACAAAAGCAAACTAAGAGGACAGCTAGATCAGGAGCAGAACCATAGAAATGAAGATCACATGGAGGGTTAGCAACAAGGGAGTGGAAGAAGGAGAAGGGGGGGAAAGGTACAGAAAATAAGTAGCATAGATGGTAAGTAGAAAATAGATAGGGGGGAGGGTAAGAATAGTAGGGGAAATATAGAATCTAAAGAACTTGAGACACGTGGTCATAAACTAAAGGGGGGAATGGTGGGGGAGGGGGTGTGCAGGCTGGAGGGGAATGAAGGGGAGGGAAATAGGACAACTGTAATGGCATAATGAATCACATATATTTAAAAAAAGAAATCATTTTCATAAGTAATTAAATTTCTGGCCTTGTTACCAATTTCTGTGATTACTGTTATTTCTCCTATACCATGCCTTTCCTTTGTTCTTATTAGTATTACAGAGGCAAACACTATTGAAAAAATAGTGTTTGTTTTAATTTTCATTCTAGAGAGTAGGGAAAAAATTTTGGTTTAATTTTCATTCTAAAGAGTAGGGAAGTAAGGGAGAAAGAGAGGGAAAGAAACATCAATGTGAGAGAGAAACATCAACTGGTTGCTTTCCACAAATGCCCCAACAGGGATCAAATCTATAACCCTGGCATATGCCCAGGAATCAAACCAGAGACCTTTTGCTTTGTAGACAATGCCCAACCAACTGAGCCACACCAGCCAGGGCATGATAATATTTTCGTGAGAGTCTATAGATGGCACACTCCCTTAAGTCTTTGTATGTCTGAAAATATCTCCATTTTCCCATCATTCTTCAGATTCAGTTTAATACCTACCTCTACATTATTTTTTTCACTCAGCATTTGAAATATATTGCTCCATTCTTCTCTAAATTTTCTGTGAGATATTCGGAATTGCCCATGATCACATGGGTCCTGTCAGACACTCCAAGCCAGCTCAGTGGGTCCAGGAAGACAGCTCAACAGAAACCCATCAAAAGGTGAAAATACTACATCTGGGACACCAAGCATGAGCAAGATCAGAGGACATATAAGCAAGCTGGATGAACAGGTTAGCCAGAGTCCCATGGCACCCAGCAACGTTACACTAGAACACCATTGTCAGCTCTCACCAATGGTTATATGGGGGTTCTTGTATATCAGCTAAAGGAAGAGGAAAAACTCTGAGCTTTTTATGGATAGGTTTATGAATGTGTTGGCTGGATAAGCAAGTTACAGTTAGAAATGGAAGACATGACCTGGCTGGTTTGGCTCAGTGGATTGAGTCCCAGCCTGCAAACCAAAGGGTTACTGGTTCAATTCCCAGTCAGGGCATATGCCTGGGTTGCAGCCCAGGTCCCCAGTTGGGGGTACACGAGAGGCAAGCACACATTGATGTTACTCTCCCTCTCTTTCCCCCTTCCCCTCTCTCTAAAAATAAATAAATAAAATCTTTAAAAAATAAAAAGAAATGGAAGGCAGCTGCATGACAGCATCAGATCCCAGTGTCCTTGAATGACCATGAAGAGCAAAATTTTCTTAAAGGGTGAAGCTCTGAGTTGTGCACCTAATGATCCACTTTGTGAGGAGCTCTATAAATTCCTTAGGCTGAAAGCTATACAAGAGGTTTGAATTCTCCTTCTCTATTATATATTATTTTCAGTTAATATTCTTAATTTTAATATAAAACTGAGTCATTACTTTAATATAAAACTGAGTGCAAAAAAGGGGGACAGATTTTATGATAAGGATACAAATATTTTTTTAGCACTACAGGGCAAGAGTGAAAGCAGGCCTAAGGAAAATTCCAGAAACAGAGACTGGAATTACCTCTGACTCTTCCTCTATCTCTTCTCTGTTCCTCTCTGAATGTATGATATCCTGTCTCTCGCATCATCCTTCCTTTTCTCTATACACTGACATTTTCTTCTTCTCCACTAGAAATGGTTTGTGAAAAACTGACAATCTGTATCTCCCAAGGTTTTATGTGTATATATGAATGCATGCCATGTTGTGATATCTAAGAAACTGAATTTTTTAAATTTGGTGTAAATATGGATTTCCATATTAAAAACAAAACCTGTAATTGGCCCAACTTGAATCAGGTGCCTATTCTGGGTCCAATCGAATTGTGCAAAATAGTCATCTTACTCAAAATGGTTGCTAGAGGATCAGCCTTGCCTTTGACAGAGAACTAGGGTCACTGTGAACTGCACAAATACATATATATACTCTATCATCCCCATTCATTCTCCCTGTTAGCCAGACTGAAAACCTCAAAGTCAGCTATGTCTTATCTTGACCTTTTATTCACTATATAATGTCACCAAAAACGATTCCGCTCTTTTTTCAAAATTACTTTTATCTAATTATATCTCCATTTTCACTGCATTTCTTGTGGGATAATTCAGAAAAAGGATATTTCATTATAGTTAAATCTGCATTCTTTAACTACTGGTGGGGATAAACTTTTTTCCCATGTTTAGACCATTAGTAGTTCTGCTTAAGTGGTTTGTATTATGGACTGAATTGTGTCCTCCAGCCCCCAAGTTCGTATGTTGAATTGCTAAACCCCAATGCGGCTATACTCAGAGATGGGGCCTTTCAAGAGGAAATTAAAGTTAAATGAGGTCGTAAGGGTGGAGTTTTGATCCAGTGAAACTGGTGGTCTTATTAAAAGAAGAAACATTATCAATGCTTGCATATATAGGAAAGGCCATGTGAAGACACACTGAGATTTTCTAAAAATCCAGAAAAAGGCACCAGAAGACACCAAACCTATCAACACCTTGATCTTAGATTTCTAGACTCCGGAACTGTGAGCAAATAAATTTCTGATAAGCCATCTAGTCTGTGGTACTCTGTCATGGCAGCCTTAGCTAATAGAGTTTGTCTTCATCACCTATTTTTTTTTTCTGTTAACAGTTCTCTGAAAATTAGGCTATTAGTCTTTTGTATGAAATAAATTCACTGGTATCTCAGTACTCATGGTTAATTCATTCTGGAACTTGCGGTAAGTGCCAAAATCAACAAATACCCAAAGATGAAGCATTTTCTCTTGAGGAGTGGCTAGTGACTCCCACAAGTTCTAGCAAGTGAGACACGTCCCCAAGCAAGCACCAAGTACTGAACCACTTTTTTCTTGTCAAAATGACATATATGGAGTTTGATGAGTTCTGAAAACAAGTAGTAGTGAGGTATGGCTATTTAATTTACAAATTTTCCCAATGTACTTGTCTTCTCACCTTTTTGTTTTTGTATACCAAAATTTTTTTTCAGTGGTCAAAATTTTCATACCTTTCCTAATGGTTGCAGCATTTTAAACTGTGCTTAGAAAATCCTTTCCATTTACAGAATTACAAGTCTATTTATATACACCTATATTTTATTCCAATTATATCTCCTCTGAATTTTATTTTCAGTATGTGATGCAAAATAGAGCAATTTTTTTCATGTAGCTAACCAATTATCCCTATACCATTTATTAATTTTCCCATTTATTTGAAATCTTTTATCATTTCCTAAATACTAATATGCACCTAAAACTCCTGCTGCTTTGTACTTGTGACATTCATTCACTCAATAGTTTACTTTGGAGATTGTTCTACATTTATCATTAGGAAAAATGAATTTTCCATCAAATTCAAGAATCATTATTTTGATTACCTCAAACTATTAAAAGTATGGAGAAAAATTTTTAATGTTTTAAATAAAAATACTATCATATAACTGTTTTTAGGTAATGAAATACAGCAAAATAAATATAGAGAAAATTACTTTAAACCAGTGATAAGCCAATGAGAAAGGGAGAGAGTATCATCTAATTTAGTTAAATTCTTACTAGAAAAGAAAAATGATGGAGAAGAAAGTACTTGAAGATCAACAGTTGGCTTTTTTAGGCTCCTTTGGAGAGACCAGTAGTCCTTTTCTCAAAAATTAGTTACTCAAAATTATTTTTTCCCCCTCATGGGACAAGTTGTATATTTTCACATCCATGGAGGTAGAAGAAAACCTATCTGATGTGGGTCAGTGGTTTAAAGGTTGTGTTGTTCTCCCCAAAAAGGGAATTGACAAGATCTAAAGCAATGCTCACGTTGAACGTACTTTGATACCATTAAAAACTCTCCAGTACATACTCAAGGCCAGAAAAATTCCAGGGACTTTACAAAAAAATCGAAAATCCTGCCAAAGCTTTAGCTACTATTACTGTCAGCTGTCGGTTTCTCGCAGATGTCCATTTGCAAGCACTTCATTACCACATTGCAAATGTGAAATGTATTACCACCGTGGCGTATGAGCAGATGAAAGTGAAATTCGAGTAAACTCCCAAAAATCAAATTGGCAAAAAGTCGTTCATCCCAACAAAAATCTCGTGCGAACTACGGCTTTATTACGACTTAAGCTGTGCGCAAAAGGAATGGCATAGTCAAAGAATACAGGGCTGAAAAAGATTACAGAACTGCGTCGAAGAAAATACTGCGGGTATAAATGCAATCCCGTTCTGCCCGACCTGACCTCTCAGGAAACCGAGGTGCGCACGGCTAGGGGCGGAGGAGGACGCTGGGCGTGGAAAGGCGGGGCTCATTGAGAGGGCGGCCACGAAGAAAGCTTACTAAGTTTTTGACGGACGTAAGGTGAACATGTTAAAAAGTATAACGACCCGTTCAACCAACACCGTGTAAAAAAGATTTGTGTGCCAAACCCTCCACCACAGACTGTACCTCCCGCTCTCTAGAAGTTCCGGGACCTCCACACCCACCCCAGCATCCTTTGCGCCGCGAGACAGCCCTAGAGCGCTTTGACCCCTACGGCCGCCGTCAGCTCTGAGTTACTATGGTAACTCAGCTGCCATCAGGATGTCGTTGCAAAAGGCCTCTTCGTCTCGGGTGTTCGTGGAACTGGTTCCCTGGGCTGACCGAGGCCAGGAGAACAATCTGGTCTCGGGCGGAGAAACGCTGCCGGGCCTGAGCCGTCCCCTCTCCTTAGCACAGGGCCAGACTTCGACCCGCGAGGTGCACGTAAGCGGCACCGCGGAGGTGTCTGTGGTCCCCGACCGAGCGCAGGTAGTGGTGCTAGTGAGCAGCACCAAGGAGACGGCGGCCGAGGCCAAGAAAAGCGTTTGCCGCCGCTTGGACTACATCACACAGAGCCTCCAGCAGCAGGGTCTGCAGGTGAGAGCTCTGCGCGAGAGGTGCCTGGAGCCGGATGGCAAAAGATGAGCTGGGGGTGGGGGGCGGGCCGGGATTCCCGCCCAGGGCTTCTGGAGCAGGTGTGGAGGGTGTGGGGCACCCGAGACACTTTTGTCTCAACGGTAATACATGGTACAAAGACCCGGCAGAATGAATTCTTGGCCCATCCTTCTAGATGAAAATAATTATTGGCCACAGTGACATGTAAAATAAGATAATAGAAATTGAGTAGGGTTTTATATGGCAGTATTTACTATAACATTTTTGCTTTTAGCCTTGAAATAGTTACTGTTAAACTTGAAACCTTAATAGGGGTGTCCAGTCTGCAGCCCGAAGGCCGCATGGCAGTCAGGATGGCTGTGAATGCAGTGCAACACAAAATTGTAAATTTACTTAAAACACTATGATATTTTTTTATCACGTGTCTCAATGTATTTAATGTGTGGCCCAAGAGAACTCTTCCTCTTCCAGTGTGACCCAGAGACGCCAAAAGGTTGGACACGCTGCTAGATGTAAATACATTAATCTCTTTTTGTTGCGATGCTGCTACACGGTAGAGCTGTAGCTTCTCACCAGCTGGCAGATGAGAAGCAAGGCCTCCCAGCCACGTAAAGCTTCCCATTGGAATGGTTTTTCAGAAATTTTTGCAAACAGTGATGGGGGAGGGGAGAAATTAAGGACTTAACATTTTTCTCCAAATTTTTTAGTTTAAGTTTAGTAAAATTAAAGCCATTATATTGTGGATGCCACATATATTAAATGCCTTTAATTACCAAATATGTCCATGAAACAAATCAGTATATAAATCTAACTTTAAGCCTACTTCTAAGAAAAGAACAAACAAAATGAAACAGCCTTAATTCATCCATACAATAGGCCTATTAGGCAGACTTTAATATCCTCATTTTCCAGATTTAAAGAGATTAAGTAATAAGTAATGCTCTGAACTTTAAATATAGGTTGCTTCTAACTATGCCAGGCTCCAGATAATTAGAATGAAAGAAAATCAGAAACCATAGAATGGGCGGACTATCTCAGTTCTTTTCATTTTACAGAATAGGATTCTAAAGGCCAAAGTTGTGATTTATTCAGGGTAACACTGAGTTTATAAAAGTTCTTCCAGTTTATTGTTAGAAATGGCACACCCCCGAAAATCAAGTCTTTAAGGAGAAAATATATTTGTGCTGCATTTACAAACAGAATTATTTAAAAATCATTTGAAAAAGATGTCTCTAAATGATTTGACAGTTTAGAAGAACTCATGCTAATTAAAATAATAGGAATAAAGTGAGTTTAATATGTAGAAAAATACTTCCTCAGAAAAACTGCTTCCAGTGCTGCTGTCCTATTTCAATATTACTAATTCTTTTGATACTTACATGAAATGTATACTACTCTCACATGACTGTTACTTCTCATATGTGAAACTCAATAAACTACTATGTCCAGGTGACAGTTAAGATTACGTTAAGATTTAGTGTTCAAGGCAAGACATACAAAGGTCAGTAATCTCTCAGTACCCCTGCTAATGGAGGAAGGCATGATATAATTTGTTCAATAGGTAATGCAAAAATAATTTATATTACTTTGCATGATGAATTATAATAGGTCTTCACAAAGTCTTATATTCTTTTTTTTTTTAAGATTCATTCATTTCTAGAGAGAGGGGAAGGGAGGAAGAGAATCATCTTTCTGTTGCTTCTTGCATATCCCCAACGGGGACCTGGCTCACAACCTGGGCATGTGCCCTGACTGGGAATCTAACCAGCTACCTTTGGTTTGCAGGCTGGCACTCAATCCACTGAGCCACACCAGCCAAGGCTCTTTATTTGCTTTAAACTTTGGAACCTTAGGTTTATAAACATCACTACCCTGTTTGAAAAGCTTCAGTTATTACAAACTCCTTTGCTTTATAGATGGACCTAACACTTCACATTTCCTGTGATCTCTCTCACCTGGTTGACTGGCTGACTCCCATTCTTTTTTCTCTAAGAACTAGCCCAAGTTCACCACCTTGGCATTCCTTTCCTGTGTAACACTTGCTACGTAGTTATACATGGCCTTGTCATGCCACACTCCATTCCCCACTTGTAATAAAATTTATTCTGTATTCTATTTATTCCTTTACTTGTCACTCCCCCCATTCTAAAACTTCTCTATAGAAGACACTATTTTGTCTCGTTTGCTTTTGCATTCATAGGTTTTGCTTCATATATATTACAGTGTATTCTTAGAAAATACCATAGTTTCTGAATTAATAAAAAAGCAAGCACTAAATAAACAATTGATTCATCTATATTACAGATTATATATAGATTTATGATCACATGTAGTGTCAATGAAAAGTCATAACATTCATTTTTTAGTGTTTATAGCAAAATGTTTTCAAGTTCTAAGCAGTATTTACTGATTCAATCATCAAGCATTTATCAGGCATTCCCTATCACTGTTTACTTTTAAATAGCATTTAGTGTAATATGGAATTATTTTATTTTATGGTTTGTATGTTCCTGTGATAGGCTGTAAGTTCTAATGTTTTCCCACTCATAACTGTATGTTTTTGGATAAACATGTAAATGAGTAGAAATTTTGTATTGCGCTGAAGGAGCCCCATGATAGGAATATAGTCATCTATAGTAGGTTGTTGTGATGAGACTATGTATGATACCATATAGTACAGTTAAAAAAAAGGAAGTAATGTTCCTTTTACTTAGGAATTCCAGAAAGATTTCACAATGGAAGTGATTCGTGTCAAATCTTAAACAGTGGCTGAAGGGAAAGCTTTCCAATTTCACACTAGAGTGCAGCAAGTGTATGTGTTCAGAGCTCTAGACCCTGTTCCCTATGGCTGGGACACAGGAGGACTTAGAGAAAATGGAGGGGACTCTAGATAAGACTGAAGAAGAAAGCCGAACACAGAACACGAAGGAAGGCCTTGTGTTCAATACTGCAGAGTTGGGATATAATTAATAATAAAAGCTTCTTGCTATTGCTAGACCTTTTACAAATGTTATCTCATGTGATACTCCCACCATATGAGACTGGTAGTTCAGTTGCTGTGTTTTATAGATGAGAACACTTAGGACCACAGTGATTAAGGTCACACAGCGAGAAAGTGCTAGAGTTTAGACTCCTGTCAAGAACTTTGACCACAAAGCCCATGCTCCTAACCACTAGAATATATTGCTGCTTTAATGTCTTGGCAGTGGATGGGTGAGGGCAGGGATGTAGCAGATGCTATTGATAGTTCACACTTGTATCCCTTACTACTTTACTTTTTTGTGCATGCAGGTCCAACTTCCATCTGCCAAAACTTTTGAATTTTTTGCCAGCTTTTCCAGGCTGCAGGAATCTGCTGTGCTTACAAGAGGGGCCACCCAGTAGTGCCAGAGAATTAACAATCTCTTTTCCAGTTCCAGGTGCTTTCAAGTAATAGCTAAGGAGAGTGATAAAAGGAGACCACAGATTTCTCACCCCTTGGGCAGGATAACCCTGAGACATGTGTTCTACCTGTGTCCCCAGAGTTTATCTGCATAAATAAGTTCCTGTTGCCCACAGTGATAACCATTTGACAATATACCCTTGAATGGCTTTCTTTCATTCTCTGTTTCATTTCTCACTCCCCTATGATATTCTTGAGATTATCTTAAAAAATCACTCTTTGTACTCAAATTCTTGTCTCAAGAATCTGTTTCTGGCTACACGTAAATTAAAACAGGGAGTTAGTAGAAACAGATTGAAAATATCATGAGTTAACTTTAGTTTCTCATTACTAAAAATGGTGACAGGATGAATATTCTTGTTGCTATGTAGTTATACATGTTCTTTGGACATTAATTACTGGCTTATGCAAACTTTTAAGACCTACAAAAAAAATTACACTTTAGGAAGATAAGCTTACATCTTCACTAGATAAATATCTTTGGCATCATATTTCTTAACTTTGTAAATCCAGTAGTCAAAGGAATGTTACTTTTCTTTCTTGTTTTATTGTTTTTTAACATTTGATGTTAAACTTTTTTCATGTAAATTGCTAGTTCATAATATTTCCCCATTCTTCTATTGTCTTTATTAATTGATGAGAACTTTAAAAATTAAGAGTGTCAATAACTGTGTCTCTCATATATTACAAAATTTTTCCCAATATCATATTTGCCATATAACTTTGTTTAGAGTATGGAACATTCAAAATGTTAAAGACTTATTTAGTCAAACTTATTCATCATTTCCATGTTTTCTGCATTAAATATAATGCTTATTGGGTCCTTCTCAAGCCTAAAGCTATATAACCATTAACTAATATTTCCCGGAATCTTTAGGGACCCCTTATAGTACATCATATATTTCCTGTGTTTGGAGTTTATTATGCTATAAGGAAAAAGGGTTTGTTTTCTCCTAAGTGGGAGAAATCATTTACTGATTTCTTGCTATACTGAAATCATTTATTGAAGTCTATGTTTCCCTTACTGTGTGTGCAAAAAGCTAACTCAAACTGCCTTTAAAAATAAAAATTATTGCTTTACATAATCTTATATATAAGTTATAATTTGGGCTTCAGGTATACAATGGTCAAGATTCTATTTTGACACATTTCTCTTGGCTGGTTACCTGCAACTTTCTGCATAATACGCCTTATATATTACTATACCATAAAGAGAAAGACAGTAATTTTTGTTTCCAGCAACCAACTAAAAATAATTTCTATAGTTCCCTCTTTTTAAAAAATTATTTTATTGTTGTTCAAGTACAGTTGTCTGCATTTACTCCCCACCACTCCCCCCCACCTCAGCCATCCCCAGGGAGGGGATGGTGGGGATGCATATAGTTCACTCTTAATGGACAACCTAAACTTACCTTTGTAGATAGAGAAATGCCATATACTAATTAGTTTAGATTTGAACTTCTACCCAATTTTTAACCTAATCTTTTGGCAAGGTAGATGTGATAATCCTGAATGCTTTAGACCTAGATGGCTTACCTTG